TCGGGGAAGCCGGCAGCGGAGTAGCCCAGGCGCGCCTGGGGTGCCCCGCTGCCCGAGCCCCTCCGCGGCTTTGCTCTGCGTCTTCCTGGTCTGCAGACCAGGGAGACGCAGAGAAAGCCCCAGAGTACATGGGCGGCAGGACCGCGAGGTCCCGCAGTCCGTGTACTCTGGGGCAGCCCCGTTCGTAACTGCGGATCCGACATAAGTCGGATCCGCGTAAGTCGGGGACTGCCTGTATTTCATTCTATGAAGCCAATCATCCTCCCCACAGGAGATGATATAAAAAGGAGGCGCTAAGACGCTGTGAACCACTTAGCTATTACATTCTTACAGGATGATTGGCTGCACAGGTTGTACCTCCCTTAACTGGGACTCTCTGGTCTGGCAACATACATGGTCCAGCAAGACTACAGATGTTTCTGGATGACAGAGTCCAGGTATAGGAAGGTCTGGCCATGGGACAGGAGTGCAGTAGGAAGGCCGGCAACTCAGCCAGCAACTCAGCAGTGTGTGTGGGGGGTATGGGGGGAGGGGAAAAATGCCACAGTGGGGAGATCTGGCCCCCACAGCTGGGCAGTAACAGGGGGCTGGCAGTGGCCCCAAAACCAGTGGTGGCCACGGAGCTCCACGCATACAGCTCTGGCCAGTGGGAGCTGGAGAGCTCTGGCCCAGGGAGCAATGGCTGACTGGAGCCCTAGCAGCATGGTGTGGGCCAGGGGTTGCGGCAGTGGCTTAGCACAGATCAGGAGGGGAGGGACCTCTCCTAGTCTGGCAAATCCCCTCATTTGGGACTGGTCAGGTCCCGAGGGTGCCAGACCACAGAGGTCCAACCTGTATTAACTCAACAGATGCTACAGTAGTGCAGACAGTTATCTTTATCAGTAATGTAGCACTTTATACACCGATATGGGGAAATACTGGGAGAAACCCAATGAAGCCAAATAGCTTCAGTGCCATTGTAATGTTGAGCAGTAAGCTAACACACAACTATTCAGTCATGTACAGGAGTTACTGAGCATTTCATCCCATATATTTGATGGCAGAACTGGGCCCACAATCACAATGACAATACTGACATATAGCAGTCAACGTATTGCAAACAAACCTGTTGTCAGACAACCTCTAAGACGGGGTGAGCAATAATTTCTGATCGGGGGCCATGCCAAGATTTTGAAAAGCAGTCAAGGGCAGCACTTCTTTATGGAGAGGGTGAGGGAACTGGGATGGAGGTTGTGTGCAAAAGGGAGCTCGGGATAGGGGATTGAGGTGCAGGAGCAGAGGTGGGGTCTGAGAGGGAGTGTAGGTGAAGTAAGGGGTGGTGACCTTGGGCAGGGAATTAGGGTGCAGGGTCTGGGAGGGAGCAGGGGTGCAGAAGTGGATTTTGCCCTGGGGGAAGGGAGTAACAGAGGGGTGCAGAGTCTGGGTGGGAAGTGTGATCTGGGGCAGTGTACAGAGGATTTGGGTGGTGACCTGGGGCAGAGGACAATGATGACCTGAGGCAGGGAGATAGGATGGGGGAGTGGTTGGGGTGCAAGAGGCAGGGGCTGAAGGGCTGGAGGCAGGCTTTGGCTGCGAGTCATTTCCTTTAGGAGGCTCCCAGCTAGCAGTCTAACAGGGTCTGAGGCAGGCACCATCTTGCAGAAGCCCCAGTCACATGTGTTCCTTCCATGTACTGCTCAGGGTCACATGTCCTTGGGGGGCAAGAGACTTCATGTATGCTGCCCCAGGCCAATCAGTTCCTGGGATGAGGAAGTGTGCGAAGTCTCTCGCCCCCTGCCAGAGTCACACAGTGCATAGAGGGAACTGCCAGCTGTTTTGAATAGCTAGTAGCTCCCTCTATGCACCCTGCGCCCCTGGCGCCAGGGGTGAGAGGGAGGGGGAGGGAAGGGAGAAGACTTTGCACTCTCCACTGTCCGCAGGCCAATCATCGCAGCTGGAGGCAGGGGAGTGCGCAAAATCTCTTGCTCCCCACTAGGGGCGTGTGGCGCACAGACTGAGTCACCAACTGTTCAGAACAGCTGGTGGTTCCCTCTATGTACCACGCAACCGTGGCAGGGGGTGAGAGAGTTTGTGCGCTCCCTTGCCCCCTGCTGTGATGATTGGCCTGGGGACTGGGAAGTGTGCAAAATCCCCCTCCCTCCCACTCCCCACTAGAGGCGCATGGTGTGTAGAGGAAACCGTCAGCTGTTTTGAACAGCTGGTGACTTCGTCTAGCCTCTGGTGGGGGTGAGGGGGAAGACTCCTTATGTTGTCCTGCCCCCAAGCTAATCAGGGCTGGGGGGCAGGGAAGTGCACAAAATCTTTCCCCCTGCCTCCCCTTGCCCAGGCGAACCATGGGCCAGATCAAATGGCTTGGTGGGCCATATCATGCCCACCCCTAGTCTAAAACAACTGGACAAACTGGAAATGAAAATTAGCCATAAAAGGACTCAAAACATATCAACAAAGCCTTCTATCAGTGTCTTTCTAGAATTCCATTTTAAATCTCTAATTTAGGATTTCCTCATTTAATGCTCATAGTACTTAAACTAAGTAATGTACTCAATAAACCTGTCATTGACAGATGGTGAGTTTTTGTTGTTTACGCTCTTTCTTCACTGTTTAATTAGTAGGAGGTTCTTATTAAACATAAGCTTGGCCTGACATGAGCTCTCCACTACAGAAATGAAATTCAGTAGGATTTCCTATTGAACTCCTTAGAGGAGGTACAAAAGACTTTCTAGGACAGAATTAAATGTGTACTTACCTATTATTGTGGAACGTAAGTGTCCTACATGAAACTTTTTGGCAATATTGGGTGAACTGCAATAAATACCCACAGTTAACATTAGTTCACTGTACAAAACAGAACTGCCAAACCATTTGTCTCCCCTAACAAAATTTCCTATTGAACTCCTTAGAGGAGGTACAAAAGACTTTCTAGGACAGAATTAAATGTGTACTTACCTATTATTGTGGAACGTAAGTGTCCTACATGAAACTTTTTGGCAATATTGGGTGAACTGCAATAAATACCCACAGTTAACATTAGTTCACTGTACAAAACAGAACTGCCAAACCATTTGTCTCCCCTAACAAATATCC